TTCTTGAAGATGGGGACCACATTTGCTACCTTCCAATCATCTGGCACCTGGCCCAAGCACCACGATTGCTCATAGAGCCGTGCCAGGGGCCCTGCAATAACCCCAGCTAGCTCCCTCAACACCCTGGGGTGGAGATCATCTGGACCCGCTGACTTGAACACGTCCAGCCCCTCCAGAAGCTCTCTAACCCGGTCCTCCCCAACCTGAGGTCTGAAGGCGATCCCCTCAAGTCCGGCTTCTATCACAGCAGGGAAGTCCCTAATATAATGCACAGTAAAATAGGCTACTGTGTATTAAGTGGCACCTAAAAAAATATGAGCTTGTGCTACTGCACATTAAGGCAGCCTAATGCACATTTAGTACCTTACATTGGAGGTACTAAATTTAATGCGCATTAGAAAAAGTGCATTAATGCACGTGTAGTCAGATGCGCCCTCTGTCTACTTTTACAGAAACCAAAGGGAATTCCCAAATGGGACAAATTATGAACACAGTACATTTACTTATGGAAAACTTCTGTTGACTGAAATGGAGCAGGATTTTGTTCTTAAGTACTAGACCTGAATGAACCACTTGCTAATGCTGAGCTTTATGCACAGGTCCCTAGAATTGTTATTAAAGACTCAGTGGCTTGTTGAAGATTTCATTATTTGGTAGTTATAGATTAATATCACACAACTGCTTGTGCACAATGGTGTTTGATATTTCTTTTTCTAGCACAAGGGCTATCATTTCAAGAAGCTGCATTGAGCATTGTAGAGGCCATGATTTAAGAGCTTCCTCCTATCCATCCTCAAGCACAATCCAACTTTCATTACAGAAGCCCCAAAGATGATGAAAAGAAGAAATAAGAATGCTTTCTTTAGTAAATATTTTAGCTGTTTCTGTCATTCATTACTATTCATCCTAGTAACAAACTGACTGGGTAGGTCTGTATGGAACAGGGGTAAAGTGTCAGAAAGGATAGGTGGTCCAGTAACCTTAAGGATTGGGAGATCTACTTTCAAGTCCTCACTCCACTCAGCAGCATCTCAGTGCTACAGTTTCCAATCTGTGAAATGGAGATAACTCCATACCCCAATACACAACTCTGCACAGAGTCCTCTTTAACTTCAGAGAGGTTCCTGCAATTATAGGTGACTCCTCACATGGAACCAAGTGGAGGATCCCTCTTTGGTAACACATAGATTAGCAGGGAAAGAATCCATCCCACTTCACCAGAACCCTGCAGGTTCTGCTCTTTTAATAACATCTGACTTTTATCATTCAAATGAGCACATATGAGCTGGCGTAATTACTGGGAAGTTTAATGAGGTGCTGTGGTATTTTATTAAACCAACTCAGTTGGAAAAATTCTTCTTTGCAAGCTTTCAGGTACACTTTTCAGGCAGACACTTCCTCTGCCTGAAAAAGGGTATTTGTACCCAAAACTTGCAAAGAAGAATGTTTCCATTCGAATTGACCTAATAAAAGATACGTGGTATTTTTAAGCCACTCGGAAGCTGACTGCACCATCGTTCACCTTTAGTAATCCTCCTCCTAGGCAGTCCCAATGTGACTCGACAGTACCATGTTTCTGGGGCCAGTGCGCCCATGCAGCGCGTGGGCGGTGCGGCGCGGCAAAGCTGCCGGACAGCCCTGGCTGCGTTCCCCTCCCCACGCGCTGCTGCGCTGCAGGACGCGGGGTTCAGAGCTCGCGCGGCAGCCGCGTTGCGGGAGGATTCCCGCACGTCAGGCTGCCCTGCCCGCAGCCCCCCGCACGGCAGAAAGCGCGGGCCGGCGGGGAGCACCCGGCACCAAGCAGCGGCACCTCCCCCGCGGCCCGACCCGGCTCAGCTCGGCAACCCGGCCCCAGCCCCGGCAGGGGGAGATCGCCGGTACGACCACAGAGCGACCGCGGCGGGCGCAGCAGCGGCAGCCCCAAGCGCCGCCTCTCCCCCCGCCAGGGGGCGCCATCACCCTCGAGGCAGAGCTGGCGGGGCGGGGTGGACACACCTACACGTTATCTTCACTTTGCGAGTCGCGGTTGAGTGACATCACCGAGCGCGCCCGCCGCTGGTGGCTAGGGTGGTGTTTGCTATTGCTCGGTGAGTCGCGGGTTGGTGACGTCACTGAGCGCGCTCGCCGCGGCGGGCATGGAAGCGGGGATGGAGGAGTTGATGCCGCGGCTGCTGCCCGTGGGGGACTGCGAGCTCGCTGAGGACTTCGACCCCACCGCACCCCCGCGGACGCCGCAGGAGTATCTCAAGCGGGTGCAGTAAGTGGGGGCGGGGAGCAGGAGCCACCCCCCGCTCTGGGACCCTGCGGGCGCGCAGCGGAGCGGCCGGAGACAAGGCCGCCAGTCCCACTGCGCGGGCTGGCGCCGCCCGACTCCGCTGGAAGCAGCTCCCGCCCGTGGAGCTCCCCCGAGCTCTGCAGCTGGGCTGGCTCGGAGGGACCCCATGGAAGACTGAAGCACCGGCCTGGCCACCGGGAGCCCTTTGCCCTGTCCCGCTGCTGCTAGTGTGCTGCGAGCTGTAGGACCCACTGGGGTCTTTGCTGCAAATCTCCTGAGATGGTGCTGCCCAGACATGCGGCTCAGAGCATCTCCATTTCACCCTGGTCACTGTCTCCTCTGGAGCCCCCAAGTCCCACTGTAGTGCCAATAACTGCTGAGTTTGATGCCAGTGAATGTAATGTCTCTTTCCTTGTTTAAGATTGTGACAATTTTTATTAACACCAACATAAATAGAAACATGCTTATGCACTTGGATGCACAGTCTTCCCCCCCATGACTCAGCACTGTTCATCTGTGTATGCCTGTAGTTTCTCTTAAGACTCTTTGACCCCGTGCTACAAATCATGGCCTGTTTCCCCCAACAGTGTTATGTTGTAATTGAGTAACATGAGAGCATTTGGAATCTTTATCCAGTTTACTTTAATCAGAAGGATTAAAATGCAATCTTGCTAGCTGTATATGTCAACAGGTAATAGCCTTCACTGCTGCCTCAGAAGGAAAGGTGGTCCTGTGGCTAAGGCAGAGACCTAGGAGTTAGGGATTCTGGATTCTGTTGACTGCCACAGCTTGGCTCATTTAAAGCAAATTAACCTCTGCTCTCATTTTCTCTCTATAAAATGAGGATATATATCTACTGTGGTCTAAATAGTAAGCTTAAAAAATGCCTCCATTTGTTTGTTTTTGTTAAAACCTTGCTGCATACCCTCTCCTAGAAACAGTCTCTCTTTTCATTTTTTTAATAATTCTCATACACAAATTAATTGTGCAAGTACCTCATATTTTAATCTGGTCCCTATGCAAATATTACAGATATTTGCAAACTAATTATGTAATTCTAAGGAATGCAGCAGAGAGGGATTACAAATGTTTTTTTTTTCTTTTTAGGATTGAAGCTTCACAATGCCCAGATGTTGTTGTGGCACAGATAGACCCCAAAAAGCTGAGAAAGAAGCAGACAGTGAATATTTCAGTAAGTTTGTAGAGATGTTCTTAAGAGACTTCTAGAAAACACAGACTAAAAAAATGAAATGAGAATCCTTGGATAGAAAAATATTTGCATTAAAATACCTGGATGTCTCAAGTAAATTTTAAAATATACTGTCCCTGTATCTTAAAAGAATTTGGAGAAGTAAATGGAATCTTCAGCCCTGCAGTCCAAATTCTGAATTGCTGGAAAAACTATTGTCTCTGTAAAACTCAGTTGTTCTAATGTATACCATATTTTCTTGATTCTAATCTGAGGGGTTACCCCACTTCATATGGGGGGAATCCCATTGTCTTAGAATTGAATACAAGGGCAGGGAGCAGGCAGCTGCAGGGGCCCAGACTTCAGCCCAGGGGTGGCCAGAATACAACCCATAGGCTGGATCTGGTCCACCACGCATATTATCCAGGTCGTGGTGGGTCCCTCAGACCCATCTGGCCGAGGTACAGGTGGCAGCCTAGGCTTTGGCACATGTGGATGGATGTGACATCACTGTTTCCTGGCAGCCTTGTTTGTGGTTGCTCTTTCTGGCTGCTACTGCCAATGTTGCCAATGCCTGGGCACCCTAGTCCATCCACCATGCACCCATCATTGGGGGATGCTGGGGCAGGTGGGGTATCCATTGACACTGGCCTGGGACCCCCATGGACAGGACGCTAGGCTGGGCGGATGGAATGGGGCTGTGGGCATGCAAGAAGCGGTGTCTAAGGCTGGGGTGGGTGGGGCCAAGATTGCAGGGCAGTAACAGCGCAGGGCTGAGGCCTAGGCAGAGCCATGATGTTGAGAGCAGATGGCGGCTCTGCCCCAGGACCTGGCCCTGTGCTGTCACCACCCTGCAGTCCCAGCCCCTCCTGCCCTCAGACACCATTTCCCACCTTTCATAGATTTCATAGACATTAGGGCTGGAAGGGACCTCGAAAGATCATTGAGTCCACCCCACCCCGCCTGAAGGGCAGGAAGTCAGCTGGGGTCATAGGATCCCAGCAAGATAAGCATCCAAATTTCTCTTGAAGGCATTCAATGGAGGTGCTTGAACCACCTCCAGTGGCAGGCTGTTCCAGACCTTGGGGGCTCGCACAGTAAAGAAATTCTTCCTCATGTCCAGCCTGAAATGGTCTTGCAGGAGTTTATAACCGTTCGACCTTGTCAGCCCTTG